CTTCCTTCCTTCCTTCCTTCCTTCCTTCCTTCCTTCCTTCCTTCCTTCCTTCCTTCCTTCCTTCCTTCCTTCCTTCCTTCCTTCCTTCCTTCCTTCCTTTCTGTAGGTTTTTAGTTTTTATTAGTTTTTATATATACAAACTTTAATATTAAAAAAAGAAAGAAAAATTGTATAAAGGATTGAAGCAACTGAAGACTTGAATCATGGCATATTCTACTGAAGATGTCAACTGAAACCCTATTACAAACCCAGGAAAAAAAGAGAGAAGAGAGGAAATTGGCTGGCTCCACAGTATTATGAGTCACATTTGTATCTTTGATTTTAATTATTCTTATTCAACATACATTTCTACCATAAACAATGGAAGGAGGGGTTCCTCATTTTTGTGCTACACAAGAGGGGAAAAATGAACTATAGGGTCTCTGATTTTATACTGAACTTCAGCAACACCCAGAAGAAACATCTTAAAAGTTTCTTATTACCTCTGGAATTCAGGTCAGTCTCTGAAGTGAGACTCTTCCCTTTCCTTGTAACAATGACGACACAGATTTGACTAGCAAAGTTATTCCAGATTTTCCTCTATTTTCACAATCTCCAAATATCAAGCCAATATAACTATGGTAATAATTCAGGTAAAAAAACAATAGAATTTCATCATAAAAATAATTAACTCTTAAAACTTAATTCAAAATAAATTACTGAAAATAAACAACTGATTAAAAGGTTTCTAGTAAAGTCAAGGTTTAATACAGTCTTCAAGTTTTAAATCATGCCACTTACTCTGGTCGGCAAATCACCAGATCCCCCTTATTAGTGCCGTATGCTAATCCTAAACCTGGCTCAGGTAACCAGCGAGCAGAATTTATGCTGACGTGTCTCCTTTGATCAGCTGGCATTGGGTACAAGACATTGAACACTCTCTAAAACAGAGAAACAAAATAGAATAAAACAATGATTCAAACAAGCAAAACTAAGTTTGGAGGAAGATCAAACTACTTTTTTACATGCTGAAATAAAACAAGTAATATGAAACAGGAATATGAAAAATTTAATATCAATCATCCTCAGCATTAAAAAACTAGATAGTGTTCTTTTCAGCAAAACAACTCCAAGTGTCAACCAGTTGTGGTGGGACTGTGTAGTCTACTACTGGGTTGGACATCAGAATTTTCTTTAGTCTCTCTGCAAACCTTGGCAAATGACAGAGACACAAATAAGATGCAGTACATTAGTAAAATATAGGTGCTTCAGTTCTCTACTGCAGAAGAACACAAAAACTGGAATGCACAAAGACTGAGATATCAGAAATTTTGTAAACCAGAATTTAAAAAGGGAGACTGTAGCGAGAAGGAATCAAGCGTACTAAATACATAGTGTCGCATTTAAGTCATGTGACTTCTAATTCTACTGACCTCTACTTCTTTTTCTTCTGATCATAAGTATGAGAATATTTTTGATGTTTGTGTGTCTGTACACTATTATTATCAGCCCAAATCAATCCATGGCAGGATGAAGATCTCTTCCTTGAAGGTTATGAATTGTAATCTACCATGGTGGTCCAGTGCAGGTTGGTCGATGTTTTGCCTTTCCAGTCGAGGGCTGAGATAGAGTGACTGGCCCAAAGTTACCCAACTAGCTTCTGTGCCTAGAACCTAGGTCTTTCTACTCCTAGTCCAGCACCTTAATCACTACACCAGGGTGGCTCTTGTGTGTTTGTGTGTGTGTGTATGTGCATGTATAAAAAACAGTGAAAAGTGATAGCAACTGAGAAGTTAATAAAGATATATCAATAAACCTGGACATCAATAAAAGCAATATTAGTGGAATACGTAATGACTTTTCCCAGTTTTTTTAATAAAAAAACATATAAATAATTGTTTTGAGGCTTTTTATCTTCCTCAAAAGTAAATGGCATTTAGAGAACTTCAGTGTAAATTGAGACTGTCAAGTCTCTGGTGTTATCTTCAGTACCTACATGATTTCAGCATATCTGTCCTATTCTCTTGACTGTGTAACAAAGAATCCAATACACAGTGATAGTATCTGTTGCCATGGAGTTTATGGTATGCACTCCAATTTTAATGGGACTATGATAACAAGAAGCCTTTTATAAGAGCAAAGCAGCATTTATTCAGAAAAATAAGCATTGTTTTGAGATGTAACAGAATAAAAGAATACACTAGGGGATCATAATGCAAACTTGTTTTATGAATAAACAGTTTCTCTCAGGCAACTGCTTCTTGCTAAGAAATGTGGCTGGCAATGACTCCCTGGATCTAGCAATTGCTATACCACACACTTACTGTTCATTTCCATTGGGAAGTCTTAACCTGTCTGGATCTATCAGAAGAGCTCAACTTTCTTCACAAACATCAATTAATTGTCTATGAGAGCATAACTCAATATGACCTAAATCATCCATGCCAGGGATGCTTAATGCTATGAATGACAGGAAGGAAGGTGGTTCCTACCACCACGGCAACCATACTTCCATGCAGGATTAGGGGAAAATCTCAATTCTACTGCCGCTGTTTTGGGGAGGGAGAGTTTCTCCTCCTATTCCTAATCTTTCCAGAAAAAAGCAAATCAAAAATAAATTTTCCCCAACACTTCTACCATTATCAGATAAATAAACAAAAAACTCCTATTTTTTAATATATTGGATGTGAGAATAAAGATGGCACAATCAGAAGTACATTAAAGATTTTAAAAAATCAACTTTATTGGAATAAAATAGAGAACAACTGTTCAGTGATGGGGTGCATTTGCTTAATTGCCACTATACAAATACTCCAAGTGGGATAAAGGAAAAAAAGGGCTGATTTAGGATGTGTCAATCCATATTTAGAATACAGATAATCTCTCCTCTCTGACTCTATAGCAAGTTTTCTGTCAAATATCACCACATCACCAAATTATATCCTAATCTCATCTCCTTGTCAATAGTCATATCAATAGTAACTGCAATATATGCAGTCTTCTTGGTAGGGCTGATTTGTTCCTCATAGCAACACTGCTGCAGGTCACAGAGATGACCTTACTGCAGAGGTGCTCCTGAATGATGTTCTCAGTATTTTGGCCCATCTTACTATGATGGGATTAACTCATCTGCAAACTACAATGCTTCCTACTGACTTTCTAAAACAAATAATAACTTTCGCTCCTTTTCTTTTTCAGGACCTGATCTTTCTGCCTTTACTTATTTTTCTTCCAAATCCATGAATTTGTTGTTGGAAGTCTAAACGTTCAAATATTGCTTTTTATATTCAAAGGTAACAGGTAGTAAGTGCACACCTTGGCACTTATGTTGTTTAACTGGCTATTAACTTGGTCCTTTTCTTTAGCTTTTAAGCCATTTAAGAAATCAATGCCCTGTGGGAGACAAATAATATTCTAACCTTTCTGTATGGTTCTGAAATCTTTATTAGATAGAACAAACTGAAACAGCCTGATGATCCTGAAGGAAGACAGATAGAAGAAACCAGATTGTTGCCTTTTCACTGGCGTACTTCAAGGTTTTCTACTTTCTTAATTTCTTTTAATCTCTACACAAAATCACTAGAGGAGGTAATCACAATATGCTGATGGTACCCAATTATACATCTCATCCTGGGACACAACACATACTGCAGCAGAAGTGATGATCCAGTAATTGGAAACTAAGATCTGGATGGGGAGGAACAGACTCCCTGCAAGACAGAATGGCTCTGGATTTCTGGACCTAATGACTCCAGGGAATTTTTTTTTTTTAACTCTGAGTTATGCTCTCCCATTCAGAGATGGATTGCAATTTTGGAATCATCAAAGACTTATAGCTCCTGCTTGACTAGCAGGTAGCTTCAGTGGCAAGGAGGGCTTTTGCACAGCTATGTCTTAGGTGCTAATTGTGGTCATTCCTGGAAATCGGGAACCCCCGTTCGCAGTCACTCACGTCTTAATCACTTCACACTTGGATTACTGTAATGCATGGGGCTGCTCTTGAAGAGCATTCAGAAACTACACCTGGTACAAAATGCAACAGCCTGGGCAATGATGAATGTATCCCAATATACTTGATTAATTCTGCTGCTTTGGGAGCTGCATTGGTTATTGGTTGGCTTCCAGATGACCCATGGTGCTGGTTGTCACCTTTAAGATCTTACATGGCTCCACATCAGGTTACTAAAAGGACCTCCTGTATTCATTTGCCCATCTGATCAGATCAAATATGGTCACCTCCCTTCAAGTCTTGTCCTTATGAAACTGTCACATATACTTTAGAATTCCCTCCCCTGATCTACTCTTTTCCTCCTAGGTTTCAGTAGAGCAGTCAAAACCTGGTTGTTCTATCTAGCGTAGGAGATGGTATGTTGTGACTGAAGGTGAATCTAGCAAGCACATGACTTTGTATTTTTTGTTTCATAAATGTTGATGTTGATATTTGTTTATATTGGAGAGCTTATTCATTACTTTTGTGACTTTAAAAAAATTACGATTTTATGAAGATTTTGATTATTAACCTTGCAGAGCTTTCAGGAATGAGTGGCATACAAATAATGTGAATAGGAAACTGTGAGTTCCAGGCTTTGCCTTAAGCATGAAAGCCAGCTGGGTGACTCTGGGCCAGTCACTCTCTCTCAGCCCAAGTCACCTCACAGGGTGCTTGTTGTGGGGAAAATAGGAGGAGGAAGGATTACTAGATTTGTTCGCCACATTGAGTTATTTATAAAAAATAATAAAGGCAGGATTGAAAAATCTAAAAAAAGGAGGGGCAAATAAATAAATAAAAAACAAACAAACAAACAAACAAACAAACAAACTTCAGCCTCCCAAGAGCCCCATCAAAGGTACCAGATAGGGAAGACAATTAAGACATAATACTAGTACACAAAGATTTTATTTCCTGTCATATACAACCCTAATCTAACAGAATCCACACAAATTATCATTTTATACCACACCTGTGACCAATTATTCAAAAATCCTTCTTACCTTTTCATAGGTTGATACAGACAAGTTAGCTATAGCAGAATAGTTTGTTCATTGATGTTTCTTCAGTCAAATACTTTGGCCTTCAATTATTTAAATCTGCCCATCACTTATGGATTCATGATTGTTTGGACCTCTATTTGTTTGGTAAAAGCTAATCTCACCTGCATGTACATTGAAGTAGCCAAAAACTGCCCATTTAAAAAGATGCCTGAAACAGTGCTACTTTTAAATGTTGCACTGGACAAATATATTAGTAACCTGAAATTACAGGAATAGTTAACTTTTTCTTTCCAAGACATGATTGACATTACTGTCTCCTACCTCCAACTTGTTCTGAAACATAACAACAATATAAAGGCATAGTTCTTGGGTCCTTTTGAGGCTAGGGATGACGGCCTCCCTCCTATATTTTACAGGGGTTTTTTTTCCCTCAGAAAATATCTCCCTTAGTGCCTTTTTCCTGTTTTAAATCTTGTCTGCATATTCGATCTTCATTTCACATAGAGACAGAGAAAATAACTCACAACAATGTTATTTTATATCCTTCTTGTATTTCAGCTCATAAATTTATAAACCTAAGTCCATTCTCATCTGGATTGATTCCAAAGCAAAACCGCACAGCCAAACTAGCTCTTAGTATCATTGCTCTAAAGCAGAATTAATGACTAAAAATAACGTTGAAGCAGCAAGGAAATTTAATGAAAGCTAATGTTCCATTCAATCACAGAATGAGTATGTAGTGACTACCAAATGTATTGTATCTCTATTGTGCTTTGTATACTATCTTAACAAACATACAAGTTTGAGTTAATGCCCCAAATATGATGGTTAACTCAATGCACAAGAGTTAAAAGAGACTCCCCTTAGTATTGGCATTAATGTAGGCAAGATAAATCCATTGTCAGAAACCTCTAAGAATTCCACATCAGATCCTATAGAGTTGGAGGGG